CTCACTGCCCTCGCTCTCTCAGGCTGCCCCATACCGTACACCTGGTAATGTGCTGGATGCTTTCCAACATCCACTACCTTGGTGCAGGGCAGTCTGTGGGGCGACCACGAGGTAGCCTGAGCATGACGCAGCCGGCCATCTGTGATCCCGCGTCTACCGAGACGTTCCCCCTCCTTTACCCTCGGTGGCCATCTTTAATCTCGCGATATTATGGATGGCCGTTTTGCTACTCTCGCCCACCACAATTTCGGCGTTCGAGAGTAACATATACCTGGGCTGTCAGTTAGCCTAGCTGCTCTTGGGCTCACGATTCTCTGACACGGACGTTGGACCCCAGGGTCCCAAGTTCGAATCCAGGCAAAGGTAAGTATTCTAACTGGCCTTTTATTTACAGATTTGAGTCAAACTCGTGTATAGTGGTTTGAGGTACTGGAACCTTAAAGGGATATCACCCCCAAAAATCCCTTAAAGGGATAGCACCCTCAAATTCCTTAAAGATACCATTCTTGGACCCTTATAGGGAACTCCTTAAAAGGGATACCAAATCCTTAAAGGGATACCACCCTTGAATTCCTTAAAGGGATAGCACCCTTGGACACAGACTATCAGATGGTACTGTATAAGTACATATCAGTGATGGGAGATTTGAAGGGATATCACCTGGATCAGGGTTCAGGAATCTACAGCAAGACTTTGTCTGGTAATGGATGCTCAAAGGGATGACCCCTATCACTTAAGACTACCTGTCAGAACACAACCGACGACGGAGCTTAGAGCTAGTGCTATATCCTATTATCCCTCAGAGGTCAGTCACTTTTTGTCTCATTACTGCCATATTAGGCACTAAAGGGCTTATTATCCTGTGCCTGCTTGGGGTGCAACCCCTATTACCGTGCTGCTCTTTAGAGGTAGCCCTGTGGCCACCTCTGTGATCCTGTGTGAGGCCCAGTTATACAAATCCCAATATTGTGGTTTGCCCTGCTGGGACAATTTGACAACACTAAGTGACAGATGCAGAATACCCTGCTGGGGTTATTACACATTACTGTCATTTATACAGACCCTGCTGGGGTCCACTTGATTTATTTACACTACAACAGATACCCTGCTGGGGTACCCCATATCACACACCCTGCTGGGGTTGTTTTGGTACTTTGAGACAATAAATTGCACACAATAAGTGCACACTACTGAATATCACACACCCTGTTGGGGTTGTTTTGATACTTTGAGACAATAAATTGCACACAATAAATTTCACACTACTACACCCTGCTGGGGTCTGCATGGTGCATTGCACACAATGAAACGGATTGTGCTCTCATCCAGTCTGTTTTATTTGGCCGTGACCCACGCTTGACGGGTACATACCCTGCGCACCTGAGGTGATCTCTGACTAGGTATACGCCAATCTATTCGGCAAAAAAGGGGACAGAGTCGCAAGCTTCAGTGCAGTATATCCCTCATGGCAGTGAATTAATTATTGATAGAGTGGTAGGACACCCTCTATCAGGCTGATGGTCATACTCTATGCAACTGGGGTGAGCCCCCTACAGCACTGCTGCTTCTACTCCTACCCCTCTCAACAGCGAGCTCGAGGACTGAAAATCTGAACTTCGAATCTGGGACCGGCACTTACAGGTTCAGACCCTGTGCTCTTGGGGTGAGACCCCTACGATAGGCGAGTCACACTACCCAACCGAAGGAAGTCTTACAGCAACAGCCTCTACCTATAGCTGAAGGAATACCTCCATTGATAATGAATCATGATATGGTACGGGTTTATGCCCTGTACCTATTCTGTGGCCTGCAGTTAAAGGCCCACGCCCTATGCACCGGGCCCGGCTAGGCGTGCACTGCACTAAAATGGCATGCGGTTACAACCACTGAACAGGAGTTCCGAGCCACCTACTTAACGATATATATTCCCCTTGTGGTGAATTTAATAATGGAAGAGGTGACTGACACTCTATCAGGGCGATGGCCAGCACTTAAGGGTTCATACCCTGTGCACCCGTGGTGAGCCCCCACTATACTTGCGCTGCACGGTGCTGCTGAACCAATGCTATGCCAATGCTATGGCAACCTCTATGTACTAGGTGAGCCTCAGTCTGTTTTATTTGGCCACGATTCGGAATAGACCCACAAGGGTTTCTGTGAATACTGCCTACTGTCATAGTAGACTGATCTGTTTGCCCTGCATCCTGTGCCTGACTACTGGTTTGTGCCTTACACAGGGGTATCCCTTACTACGATAAACCTACTTGACAACATTATGCACCAACAGAGGAGGTCTCTCAGGATTCACGACCTTACCATGGGCGATGCTGGATGCCGCCAAACATCGTCTGGGAACGGGCATACAACTTGGGTATATAGACTCAAAAAACTGTTTCTGCTCCTCGCAGGAAACCCCAGTGTTGGCCTCTCCCATGGGATGCCCATAGCAGCACTCCTCCGCACTGACGGATGGTTGGCGGTACTGGGCGCCAAGATAGTCGGAACCCCAGGCACAAGGCACAAAGTTCCAAAGGGAACTTATTAGACATGCAAGGGTCACACGGCTTTCATAAGGGCCCAAACCCCTAGGAGGGAGGTGGTATGCGATTACCTTTACAAGGGATTCTTTGGAACCAGTTGGCAACAGAGCCTGTCGTCGACCACTTCGGGACATTAGACCCGAGATCCGCTACTGCTGGCTCTATTACCCATATAGAGCGAGAGTCAACCAATGGTGCTCCAGATAAGCAGACAGAGAACACGGTACGCACAGATACCATCAATATACCTCCTACTACATCCACGGGGGATTTCACCACATCTAGGTGAAGGGCACTCAATCCTGGGGAAGACAACTTTCATGTAGTCAACCGACTTGCGTTCAGGACCTAAAGACACATCAGGACGGTTTCTTGCTTCCCGCTTGACCACCTTACCCAGTTTTCAGGGGACATCCTCTCCTTCCCGATCCAGTAGCTCGGAGCCTGGTGGGCCCTGATAAACTACAGAAAGAAGTAATGTATACAGGCGGGGAAGACGAGACACTCTCTTCCGGGAGAACCTCATTCAGATCACTCCAGCAAACTGAAAACTCGTCAACATCCA